TTTATAAGTAGAGCGAAGGGTTTTTTAATATTTAACTGAAGGTAAGGCTTTATTAGTGATATCCCGGGAGCGGTAGCTCAAATTCTTCCCTTTAAAGATGCTTTAGAGAGTAAGGGCAAGAGTAATCAAATCAAGCAATATCATATCAATTTAGATATCAATTCGTTGGATTTTTAGGAATTCCTTTCAATCAAAAAGGAGTGGATTTGGATATATTATCCAAATGGTTAACTCCTATAAACCCTTTACATGAAAATTCGAATAATTCGACAAGTTGGTATGAATTTGTCAAAGATGTTGGTTTTTCAGCGAGTATAGGTTATTTAGGAATTTTTATAGCGTCTTTTTTTATATTAACCTCTTTATTCATTTTTACAAAATTTGGAATTAATTAATTCATTTGTTGAAATAGGTCCTAAGAGAAGTCTTGGGGACAAAATAATAAATGCCATATACAGTTGGTCATATAATCGTGAATCCGTGATTACATAGATGTTTTTTATGCAAGATCCTTAACGGGGGGGAATGCTTGCCCTTTCTTTTCACTCTCAAGACAAGTATCTCTCTTTTATAAAACGAAGCAAAACGCATAAAACTGAAGCGAAGAAAGCCCTGAAGTGAAGAAAGCTCAATAAACACACACAAACACGATGCAGAGCATAGCGTAAATGAAAACGTTGAGCATTTCATGAAAGATATATGCATGACCTTTCTCGATTCTTTTTTTGGGTGACTCACCCATCGACCCTGCAGTGATCGATAAAAGGTTCTTAGGTCTCTACGGTCATTGCCTTTATCCTAAACTTGAAGGTGCATCAAATGATCTCGATATGGCATCGTGGCTTGTTCTCCTTCCCTTCCTTGTCGCTTACGGATCTTGATCTTTGAATCTTTGAATCTTGATGACCATCGAATTAGGCAGAGATTGTATAAGACTTCACGAAATTATTCAATTACAAACATGATCCTAACAAAAATAATAGAAATATACGGAGCAACTCCCAAGCATTCTGTTGATCAAGAGGTCCAAGACTAAGTCCTTTATCTGACATTTGTCAGGAACTAGAATGGTGATCTCAACACCTTTGTCTACTTTCTAAGAACATGAAACTAAAAGTTATACAAATGACCTTGAAGTTTAAAGACTATGCTATATATTCAGTATATTTGCTGGATGACAACATTGCCAAAGTTCCAGCCTTTGTCAAGCCAAGTGCCTGATTGCCCTGCTCTTTACTGGAAATGAATGAGCTTTTGCTGAATCATTCTTGAGCCAAACTCTAGTAGCTCGGCAAGATTACAGCCCTAATTTGGGGCCTCAAACCTTATGAATCTAGATCCAATGATGTAGAGATATCGTTAGGAGCTAATGTATAATAGTCTGACACTAGTTTTGCATCATAACCAAGAATTGGTAAAATGTGGAGTGAGAGAACTAAAGGGGTTTTTACTAAGTATAGTTTGGGGAAAAAACTCCAGATCTTTGCTCCATATTTTTTGGATGCATCACAGTGCTACATTGAGAGATATTTTTTTTCACTTGTAAATGCAGCTTGGAGTTGCGTCCCACGATCTAGGGTCTGGACGCAGTTCAGTTGTGTGTCTTGGGACACATCAAGGATGCAAGTCCATTTTGCACTCAGATATATATGTTATGTCCTCTTCACTTTTTTTGAAACTGTGATTTCTGCTACTGTTGATTTATTTTTGAGGCAGGACAGGGTCAAAATTCTGTGTTTGGTATGTCATGTTATTCCTTCCTCTATTACCTCCTTTCTATTTTTTTTGGCAATTTACAGTGTTATCAGGAGTTTAATGCTATTTTGTGATTTTGTTTGCCAATCTGATTTGAAGATGGCTTGGCATTACTATGTTACCCTAGTTTAGTATATTGTTTGGCACATATGATGAATGCAAACTAAGGAATTAAAATGCAGTTGCATTTTTACTGATATGGAATTGTAGTATGGCCTTTTATGTCGACAACACGGTCTTAAAATGTGTTGTTATAGTTGTGAAACTACTTATTTGATTGATGGAGTTCTATGTGTGGTCAATTGTGCTATTATCGTTGCAACAGGTTGCAGAATTTTGGATTGTCTTGTTCCTTTGGCAGTTTCAATGTAGTTTTGTGCCACATTCTTATCTTGAAGGAACCTTTAGACCTAAATGGGAGATTCATATTTCAGGTGTTTGTACGAGTGTCCTAAAGAAACTATGCCATGACAATGGTCTTGTGAGGTGGCCATATCGAAAGGTAGGCTTTAAATGGTCTTTACTTACCATTCCTGTTTGAAATTGTTTGGTTGTGGGGGGAGTAATTTTATTCTGTTGATCAGGTCTGGAATTTTCTCATCTGCCTCTGCAGATATCTTTTTTTTTTTCAATTTTTTTTTATTCTAGTCTACTGACTGATTTGAGTGAATTAACCATTGTTTTGCCAAAATTTTTCATTTCATGTAATCACAATGATAGGTTGCTGTCAAGTTTTTGACGTGTAGATGTAGGATAAGAAAGTTGTCATGTGAAGACCATTGATGATTCTTTTATTGAATATTTTTAGATATAGGGCTTATTTTCTTATTTTCTGGATGTTTAGAGGCTTTGAAGATGAAATTAAATTTCTTGCAGGTGGGTATTTTTTTTTTTGGGCAAGCCTTTTGTGATTTATCCGGTTTCCTTAGAGGGCATTTAGCAGAAGAATCAAGTTGTTGGATGGAAACTTTAAATTGATGGGCCTCGCTTTTGTTTCAATGTCCCAACTTTTGTTATGAATTCAATGACTAAGGAGTTTGGTGACATTCCTCTCTTTTGTATTAGAGCTAGTTGGAAAGCTTCATGTGACTTGTAATTTTATTTTTTGCTTTTGTTTGTTTCTTTTCAATGGTCATTGAGTTGGACTGCATGTCCACCTTTGAATTGACCCTTGTTATGAAGTTTTGGTAATCAATAAATTGTTTTTTCTTATCCAAAAAAAAAGAAAGAAGAGAGGTCCAAGCACATCGAGGTTGATTGTCACTTTTTTTAGGATAAGATAGTGGAGATAATGCAATGCCATTTGCAAAATCTGAGGGTCAACACGCAAACATGTTTTCCAAAGTATTGAGTCGGATTTGTCTGATAGCTGTAATAAAAGCTTGGATTATATGACATATATTCTACAACTTGAGGTGAATTGTTGAGGGTATTAGTTATTATTCATTTACTTTATATGTTGTAATAAGTGTGCCCTTATAAGGGTATATTCATCTTTTTTTCTTATATTGTATACATAGACATATGAGTTGAGTTACAGGTAGGGTTAGAATTTCTCTTCCTACCTCTCACAAGTTCTCTCCACAATTCTTCTCCCTTTATCCTAAAGCCCTAAACTTTACAATCGTAAAATTTTGTTAAAATTCTCATTAGAATTTCTGTAATCACAATAGAAAACTGCCAACTGTCATTGCTACAACCTTGTCAGCTCTTCAAGTATGTTGTCTCGTGTTTTGCATTTTCTCTTATAAACATTTCCTTTTTTTCTAAAGAATTTTGAAACATCAAACTCAAGAAACCAATTAAAAATCTTAAGAAATGTAAGCAAGATGTAATAGAGCATTGTTGAGGAATCATGTTAGTTGCTACCTGAAAGTTTACCCTGGCACTTGGGCGACTGTCTGGGCAACTGTCTAGGTCAATTGCATAAGCTTATCGGAACAATTTGACAACCATAGCAGAGATGACAGAGAAGCTAAAGCAGAAATATCTTTCCCGTCATCACAGGAGGCAATTGATGGACCACTGGATTAATTTAAGGCAATTGTCCTTGGGTGTGTCAGTACTTAGTTTGATTTGAGGGAGCTTAGATGGAGATTTGACGTGAAAAAAGTCATGGGGGACAGTTGCTAGCCTGACGAAGGAAATTGGTTTATGTCATCCTGTCTCAATAGATAAAGGCATCACATTAGGCTTTAGAGTTAAGGATTTTGTAGGCATCCCAACCATGGGAAAATGACTTTATGGGATGGGAACTGTTGGCCGTATAACCACCAACATGACTATCATGGTGAAGTCCATCTTCTGTTCATTGTCCTTACCCTATGATGACCTGGGATCACGTGCCTAGAGACCCACTGGAAAGAAAACAATGTTGATTGGAACCTTCCTTTTTTGATCCAAAGGGAATATGGAAATCAAGAAAAGGATCGGAAGCTGGTGTTGCCTGTAGTGAACAAAATAGTCCTTGAGATTCCATTTGAAGAAAAAGGTTGACCCACTTCTTGTGGACATTAACTTGTGAAAATCTTGAGATGAGACACCTGAAAACCTATGAAGTATGGATACGGATACGGGATACGGGGACGATACGATACGGATACGGTGATACGGCAAAATATAAAAAAGTAGGATACGGGTACAACCGCTATAATAAACTATATTTAATATTTTTATTATTTTCAACTAATTTAATACTTATATATTTTGGTAGTTCTTTAATATATAATAAGAAAAATTAGTAATTCTTTTTAATTTCAAGAAAATATATTCGTGTCGCTGTGGTATATTCACAAAATGAAGTGACTAATTAAAGGAATCAATGCTAATATTTACCTACTATTTAGAAGTAATTTTTGCTAAGATTATAATGTAATAGCTTTATTTTATGTTTTTTTGACATGTAGTTGTAGATAATACTTAAAAAACATTCATGTGCTTTTGAAGTAATATGAATTTTTTGTTAATGTATTGTATAATATGTGAATTCGAAAAGAGATGTTAAAAGTTCAACTAAAAAATTATATATGTTGCTCGACTACAAAAGTATCCGTAAAGTATCCTAATATTTAATTATTATCGGATACGTAGAAGGTGTATCCGATACGTATCAAGTATCCGACGAGTATCGTATCCGATACGGGTACGTCGACCTTAACGAAGTATCCGTGCTTCATAGCTGAAAACCCACAAGATGAGTTACCTCCTATGAGGGATGACATATCTGCCGATCATTTAATGCTAGGATGGCAATTGCCTGCCTCTTGAGATTTGTTCGTGATCATCCCTCTTACCAACCTATGGTCATAAATATCTGTTTCACCATATTCCGTTCCCTTGTAGTTATGTTGAGATCCACTGGACCACTTTCTGCGACGCAGAAGCTTGGACAAGTGCATATTTGCTTCTCTTACTATTGTTTTGAATGTCGCTTCAGTTTCGATTAGGGAACACTTGTTACCTTGTTGAGGCACCTTGGAGCCTTCTTTATTGTTTGCTGGTGTTGTGATGGGTGAAGGATGCTGCTCCTCCAGCACCAGTTTAATACTCCTGCCACATCTGTCGTTTAGTGTGGATGAGATCAGAAGTTCAGAGTCAGAATGCTTCTTTTTCTCTTTTGGTCTCGACCGCTACATAATCAGAAGGAATGATCGTTCAGAGGTCATTTGCTCTATTATCGATGACCATCTTGATTCAGAACATTTCGAGCAGTTCCATCGGATAATGATTAAGATGAGAGTTTTTCTCAGCCATGGAGAATGGACAAGGATGCATAGGGTTTAATCTAGAAAGATTTCTAATATAGTGCAGGTGCAGGGGAATATGAAAGCTTCAGCCCACCTAATATTCTCTCGAAAACTATTCAAGTATGTTGCAGAGTTATCCCTAAAAATTTTCTGTTATGAGTAATCGAGTTCACCGGTCAATTGTATACAACAGGCTACTATACTTACCTCTGGATTAGACATGGCCACTATTCAAGGATCAAAATATCGTTTCGGTGTATTGTTTCGATCACCTAGGAAACGGAAACGTTTCAATGTGTTTCGGAAACGTTTCGAAAACATAATGAAAAAAATAGAAAATTTAAGAATTATTTTTCTAAAATATTGATGAAAATATATCAAAATATCTTAAAACATTCTGAAATAATTGTTCAAATGCATTAAAATATTATAATACATTTAAAAATATTATGGCATACCTCGAAATATCAAAATTTCAATTTTATCACTATTTTGTTTCGGTTTCCTTGAAAACGGAAACGTTTCGGACGTTTTGACTTTTTCGAAACAATATTTTGATCTTTGCCACTGTATTTAACTGGTCCATAGCACCAATTTATCTAGAAGGAACTAGATGGGTTAGGTTCAGTTTAGGTTGTAAAATTAATGTTGTGGTAAGATTAGAAAAATGTGATGCTATAACTTTACTTATATTACCTTCCAATCTTTTAAATATTCTTTAGTTTCTCTCTGGGAAGAGTGTTGAAGAAATTAAGAAAGATGTGGCTCAAGAAAGAAACCAGGAACTTGCTGACCAGAAGGCTGCTGGAGAAAGACATGATGCTTTTGCAAGTTCTGCTGTGACATCATCTTTGTAAGTTATTTTTGTTTTTTTTCTTTAACTGCTGACTTGAAGGTGATAAATGTAGAATTGCAAAAAACCTCAAGTTCCGTGGCAGTGCGTAGGTGGTTGCATAGTCATATGACATGCATAATCTGTTATACATACTTATGTTACTATTTGTTAATCCTAATCATAGATAGTCAACTATAAGTGGTGTGATGAAAATTATAGAGAGCAAATTTTGCCAATGTTGTACCTATGTAGCTGGCAAACACAGAAAAAAAAGAAAAAACTATAGTTTGAACTTTTGGGTATATTACAAACTTTTTTTTTGTGTCCTACTTCTGTAGTCCTGGAGTTCTCTTATTATGTACAACCTTCATTATATCCCGTGTATCTTGTAAGTCTAACATTCACGTCACTATTGATATATTAGATTTTCATTATCTCAAGTGCTATCCGATCTCCAACTGTATCTTACTGTACCTCAAAACTATATATGTTTGTGGAGAGAAGGGATTGTTATCTGTAGTTTTGGCAATGTGGAGATCTCACTTAGATGTAGTTTCATGTCAAATGTTATGATTTGATTTCTTGAAAGGATGGTGTCAACCTGATTGATGAGAATTAGTTGACTTGAAGTAACCATAGTGTTGATGTACATACATACTTATGGTACATACTCTGTAACAATTTAAGTTTTTGAGTTGGTGGTTTAACATGCTGTCTGAGAAGGGTAAATTACATTGACACCCCTTGTAGATTGGTCTAATTACAAAGACACCTCCCTCAGTTTTCTAAAATTACATTGACACCGCCTGTCAGGTCTTGTCCGTTAACAAATATAAAAAAAAATGCGACTTTAATAATTATCCTTACCATGCATCATTGTTTTACTTATAATCCTTTCATATATTTAAATACTAATAAATGAGTCATTTTCGGGTTCAACCCATCAAACTCGAAATTGATATGATCAGCTTGTTTATCTAATCATGTGAAATTTGCTCTATCTTCTCGTTTGTATGTTAACACGAACAATACGAAATTGACACGATCAACATTTTTAATTAGTATTATAAAAATAAAATATTAGTTATTTATTATTGTTTATTAAACATTGACATAATTATTATATAAACAAGGTTTTTACTCATTATTATTACTATGTTTATCAAGTTAATGTTTAGTTTATAAAAAAGTATGAGTATAGATTCAATTAAGTGATAATAGAATCTTAGACTTAAATATTAATGTTAAATTTTTTTATTCAAAGTTTATATGGGTCAACACGAATACGAACACACTCGGATGGGTAGCCCAGTGGTGTGGAGTTGAACCAAGACAAACTGTAGACCCGAACATGAAGGGTTCGACTCTCGCTGGTATTTCTCGAACTTAACCGATACCTATTGTTTACGAATGATTGTAGGTATCCAGGATTTACTCCCGTAGGGATGGGTCCAAAGTGATCCCCGTCTTAGAGAGGTTCTATGTTATAAAAAAAAAAACATGAATACGATCGCTAACACGACACGAAAATAAATAGGTTAGCCTAATTTTGTTCAGGGGTAATATGTGTATTAAAATGTAAAAAGTTGATGATGTATTCACTTTTTTGACATTGTTAGTAACAATGCTAACTATAGGGGGTACTTTGTGAAATTGGTAGGTAAAACAGTAAGGAGTGTTAGTGTTATTTCAGAAAACCGAGGAGGTGTCTCTATAATTAGACCAATCTACAGCAAGTGTCTGCGTAATTTACTCTTATAAGAATTGTACGTGACCCAATGGGGTGTGTTGAAGTATATAATACTCATGTTGCATTTTCTCTAACAACTAAAGCTTTTAGACGAGTTGGGGTTTTAATACGGGTATTAACTTTTTTTAGCAAGGGTTAAATTGGGGGATGACAAAGAGTTTTGGTAGGCTGCAAATGGGTAATACTTTTAAAAGGCAAACTTCTTTTTAGTCCTTTGTGATTAGGCTCTTTTACATGCCATCCCATCCCCCGCAAACCTAGCCATATAACCACCACGTAGTTTATGGACTAAAATGGACCGATAACCATAATTCAAAGTATCAACTGAGTTAGGACTTGGCCCCTGTAAAACTGATTACGACACCAATTACATCAATAAAGTATGGATACTTCGTCAAGTTCGATGTACACGTATCGGATACCGTACTCGTCAGATACTCGAGGATACGTATTAGATACGCATCATAAGTATCCAATAATTAATAAAATATGTGGATACTTCCCTTATACTTCTAAACATGGAGCAAGATATACTATTTTTAATTTTAATCTATACATTTTCTTTTCAAGTTTACGTACAATAAAAATATTAATAAAATTTCATTTAATTTTGAAGATATGAGTGTTTTTGAAATATTATCTACTATTAGATGTCAAAAGAGTATGAAGAAATGAGTTAGTTATACTAAGATTTTAGAAAAAAAAATACTTATAAACAAACCAACTAGTTAAATGTTGGTTTTGATTCTTTTAATTGGTCACGTTCACTTTTTTGGATATGTCATAATGAGACGATATTACATCTTTTTCAAGATAAAAAATTCTAATTTTACTTACTATTGTTAAAGAATGATTAAAAATTAAAAATTTTAAATTCTTGAATAAATAGTAAAATATAAAATATACTTTATTATAGATGTATCTTGGTCGTATCCGTACTTTATTTTTAAAGTTTTGTTGTATCATCGTTTTCGTATCGTATCGTATTTGTATTACGTATCTGTGCTTGTTAGCATTTCACGAAATCCATGAGTTACACGAATTGACTAACTCTTAACCGAGTCCAACTGAGTCTGACTATTTGTAATGGAATCACATAGATCAATAAAAAACAATAGAGAAGAAAAAGAAATTGAAGAAGAGGAAGAAATTGAAAGCAACCTAAATCATTAAGCTACCGTGACAGTTTCCCTCTTCTTCTTCATCGTCTTCTTCTCTTTATTACCTGAATTCCAGACCTTAAAAACCCTCGATTGGGTCAGGAGGGTTTTTAAGGTCTTAAGTTAAGTGGACAAACAGTTGTATTTGTGGGTTATTAATATTTTATTTTCTTATATTTTTTTCTTGGGTATTGTTTATTGTGTAATGTGACAATTTTTTTATTAACTAACAATAATTGATTTGATGTATTTTATTTATTAAGATTATTATTTTGACTTAATTTGAAAACTTAATTTATCATTGCTATTAAATTGCAGTGGATCCCATTCATATCATGACCAATGGTTAATTCTACCACATCAATGAATGAAGTTCCCATTGGACCTTCAAATTAGGTCCAACTATCACAGCTTATTATTACCATGTACCTGGTGGCACTCTGCATTCCTGCATCCCATTTTCTATTATGTTTGATGTGCTAGGTGTTATATTTTGGACCTATGATACATGATTTGTTATTCATCCTTTTTTAGAAATTTTCATAATCTTTTAAAATTTTTTGGGGCTGCTAACTACCATTTTATGCATTTCCATCAATATCGTGCTGCAATGCCACAACCAATGTGTCTCACTACTCTTCAAAGCAACGGCCAATAACACAAACTTGAACCATGCTGATAATGTTTTGCATACAATTGAACCTGATTTGGACGTCACGCGTCTATTGTGAGGATTGACATGCAGGAAAGATTTTTGAGGACAAAATTCCCTAAGACTTTGTGCAAAAATACAAAATACCCCTCTTCCTGTTCTTTATTTTCTTCTTCTACTGGCCTGGACACATGCTAGCCACAGATAGGTACACTCACACTCCCTTTTTCTCTGTACATCTATTTATATCTCTGTATTGGGAGAGATCAATAAGAGAAAGCTGGTTGGAAGCCCAAAACCGAGGTTATATAAATATACACCTGAAGGTGATAGCTGTTCAAAATGCTTTTCCGATGAACAATGGCAAATGGATTACAAAATTTATAGGTTTGGTATGGAGCTCATTTATCTTGCATTCTTTGGTTTATGTTTGGGTATTGAAACTGATTAAGGAAATCAACGGACCTTTCACTGAGGTCCTTCTCTGGAGTTTTACCAGCAAGGAGGAATTGGCTTGGATTGAGAGGCGTTTGCTGAAACCAGGGTGATAAAGGTTTCATCTGAAATGCACAGGGAGGAAACACTGGATTTTTGAAATATTATCAAGAATTTTGGTCCATAGTTAAGGAACCTTTGCTTGAAGCCTTTAGGAGTTTACATGTTTTTGATTGTCAATAAAACTTCCAATTCCGCTTTTTTTTTTTCGCCCGCGTTCATCCCAAATAGTGAATAATTTATTTCCCTTAATAGGACCTGATTGACTTGATTAGCACCCCCATAAGATTTCACACTGAAGTTTTTTAATTAAGCTTAGAGAATTCACAAACTAAGCATGTCTATAGCATATTGCCTTTCTTAACTGTGGACTAATAGGTTCCAACCCAATTGTGTATAACGTCTTGAGCATTGTAAGTGAATTTGGACATGAATTGGGACTCATACTCACTTTGAATGGCCTATGGTAAAGTTGGTGGGTTATTCTAAACTTCAATATAACAAGACAAGACTAGGTTTGTGCTGGAGATGGAGAAGATGGTTTGTGGGTGCATGTCCCCTGTTGTGTCATAGTTAATGAACAAGTAAGGAATGAACAATCACTCTCGGGGGCCTTGGGCAAAGGGATCCATGATGCACATTCCTTTTCCCTCTAATTGTTGACACTTTGAGTTGGATGATTATTATGCTAAAGTATAAGGGTCTTACTAATGACAATAACAAGGTTGGTGTCTCAACCTACAATAATTTATTATTTGACTCTATCTGACTCTCTGTGACTCTAGTATATGAGATGTATCTATATATTTGAATTGGTTTTGGGTCTAAGATTGACCCTCATAAAACTCCCATGATAGGTGTCTATGTCAAGGGTGATGGGTTCCTTGCTTTGGCCCAAGCAGAAAGATTCCAAGCAATTCTACGAGCTTATGGAATTCCATCATTGAGAAGGATGAGAGGTCTGCTGCTAGTAAGAAGTTATATCTCCCTTGGCCCATGTTATTTATGTCCATGTTTGAGATGTCAGATAAAGTGGCCGATCAAATTGAAAGTGTCAAAGATCTTGTTTGAATTAGAATTGATCACCTTTTGAACTGGAAGAATCTGCTATCGCAAATCCAAATAAAGTCTGACATTTGGTTATTTTTGTGTAGGAATTAGGCTTGTCAATAGATTGTATTTTGATCCAAATCTGACTCCGAATCCATGAGATCATTTTTAATGGATTTGGATTTGGATATATCAATATAAAGTCCGTAGATAATCCGATCCGAATTATACATTTATTTTTATATAAATATATGATGACTTTAAGTGATTATTTGAAAAAAAATGTGTTGAAAATTAGATTTAATTTGCTAAAATACAAATTAAATGTAATATTCAGATTGGATTGTTTGGTTGGATACTCAATTCTTAATGGATTTGGATATGGACTATGAAAATAAATCCATCAGATAGTCGGGTTGGATTCGAATTGAAACTTTTTCATTGGATTCGGATTCAGATTTGGATCAACTGAAATCCACCCAAGTCCGATCCATTGATAGGCCTAGTAGGAATAATTCATTAGAAGATGAAACATCCGTGGAAAATCATAGTGAATCCAATTGCTTGTGCCATGTAAGGGATTTTCTGAAATATGGTGTGTGGAAGAATGGTTGGATCGCTGTCCCTACTTTGAAGTTATCCCTTATGATCTTTAAGAATCATGTCACCATTAGAGATGTATGCTTGATTTTAGGACTGTCACATCGCCAAGAGGGCTGTCTCTTTCTGTTTGTTTCCTTTTTTCCTCTCTCTTGTAACCTAACTCCTGTTTCTTGATCCTTGTTATTGTTAGTATCATTGTAGTAGACTCTTTTATCATTATTATTGTTATTCTTGGGGGTGCATTCTTCAGAGGGTATCGCTTGATAACTCCATGTAATTAGGAAACCTAAAATTTATGAGCAGAAGGCCTTAAATCTCCCTCAACACATTCAGTATGTTTTCTTTTGTACATTTTCTGTATTAATGTATCCAAGCCTTCAAACATTCGTTTCCCTTTAAATCATTCATTTGTCTTGTTTTTTGGGTGAGTCATTTGTCACCTTTGCTAGGCCAGTGGTCCTTGTAAATTAGTTAGGTGTTCTAAGGCACCGCTACTGGTTAAGGCTTCTATATTGGACTGCAGGCCACTAAATCTGAATTATTTCAGATTAGCAAATTCTTGTGTATTTGCACACAGTTTTTCCTTTGCAAGGTTAGTGAAGATATTAACAATCAGCTTTCTTCCAATATCTCTCTGTGATACTGCTCGGTAGTTTGGGGTTACATCTGGTCCTTCATCCATCCTTCCATTTTTTCCCCACTTTTGGGGATCTCAAAGGGATGGGTACTCCCACATCTGCTCCGATTGCAAATTATTTAGCTTGGGTAGGAGGAAAACAAGAACTGTTAATGGCCTCTCTGCTTTGGTGGTCTCAGTACTGGATTCTCAACTTCTCTTTTGGCGCCTCATGCCAGGGAGGACATTGTTTTGGATTGGTTAGCCACCTGCTGTCCTCATTCCCCACCTTCCAAATCAACTCTTGATTTGACCTGAGTTGGTTGATGTTGACAAATTGGGGATTTTTCATTCTTAGTTTGGTTATGCGGCTGGGTAATGCAGGAAATGACTACAGTATTGTCAATTCTAGCATGGAGTAACAGCCTATTTGACATTAAATACATCAGGGCTAAGTATGCAGGCTTATTGCTTGATGCCAATGAAATGTCAAGATGGAAAGCAGTTTTAAATTTGTTTTTATTTTTCAGTTGATCTTATTTCTCTCTAATATGTTTACTTTATCTTTGAATTTAGAAGCTCCCACCTCCAGAACAAAAGCACCAGCTCTATACAGGAAATGCCCAAATCACGAGGCATGTCACAGCAGCAAGGAAACAATAGAATTCAAAATGGGAGTTATAGCTCAAACTTGGCAAAAGGAATTCCAGCCATCTTGGATGAATTTAAGTATGGATTCCCATCATATGGCTTGTCAACTTCTTCTTGCAGATGGTGGGGAAGTCACAGTTCCGATGGTAGTATCCATGGAAATGGGGGTGAAGATGTGGGAGAAAATAATAGACAATCCAATGAATTGGTAGATGAGGCTTGTGAGTTGTTATCAATGGACACAGAGAGATCCGCGAGTGGAGCAGATGGAAGCAACTTCAGTCACCAAGGGATGGGTTCACTGTTGGCTGTGAGAAAAAGAGCTGCCGATGAAGGGCGAGAAGCTCTGAAGCTTGGTGTTTATCGGGGCTACGGTGTAAACAAGCTCGCCAAGAGAGAGAGAATGTTGCTTCGTCGAATATTCGAATCCTTTTCGCGCTTTTGAATCTTGATGGTAACTGTTTTAACATGATACCCAATCTTATTGAGACACCATAACAAGATCATATACTTTTTAACTTTGACTGCTCTACTTCATACTCAAATTTTCTATTTTGGCCACGAGAAGCTTTCTTAGTCATCTAATTTTGCTATCTAACTCACTGGTTTAATATCATTAAAAGGATAGGTTTGCGAATGAGTTTGTGTGTGTGTGTGTGTGTGAGAGAGAGAGAGAGATGCATAGGCATGGCAACTTGGACGCCTGCTTCTTGTATTGAACCTTTTTCAGGATTAATATCTATCTAATGAAAAATATTAAGTCTAATGGAGAAATAGGGTTTTATGTATTCAATCACAAACAGTTGGGACTAAGACTCTGTTTAAGTAGACGAGGTGCACACATAGAGAGAGAGAAGGAGGAGGGGGGGCGGTGGTGTTGTTAGTTTTGGGTAAATAATGGTAGTGCGGTTCGTCCCTACTTAGAGTGATAAACGGCAAGGATTAACTAGGGCCAGGTGGTCCGTGATGTGGGCCCCATATCTACTTCTCCATTAGCTTAGCATATAACCAATCTCGTTTACCTAATTAATTACAAGTATATAAAGTTATGCTTCAAATCAAAGCCTTTGTTCCTCCCCCAGTCCAGGCATTATCTTTTCCCAATGCATAATGGTACTGCAGAGAAAACAGACTTGTTTATTTTATGTGGACCCCACCCCACCCCTTTCTTTTCTTCTCTCTCACAAACATATACATATGTCGATCTACGTAATAAAATAATTTATAATTTAAATCTTAAAATATAAACAAAATAATTTTTACTATTCGCAGTTAAAATTATTTTAAATTTTACTTTAAAATTAATCTAACGACTAATATTAACACTTAAATTTAATAAAAAAAATAGATCCCTAAGGGTGTGTTTAGAATGACTTTTTAAAAATATTTTTAAAAATTAATTCTCATAAATACTTTAAAAAAAAAAGTGTTTGAAACTGTTTTACCACTATCTTTATCACCACCACCACCACTTCCACTACCACCACCACCACCACCACCACCACCGCCACTACCGCCGTCGTCGCCATCCCCACCACCCACTACCGTCGCTGTCACTACCACCGTCGTCGCTATTACCACCACCATCCCCACCACCACTCGCCACCACCACCACCATCACCGCCACTACCACAATCACCACCATCGCAGCCACCATCACAGCCACCATCGTCGCCACCACCATCACAGTCATTGTCACCCACCACAACAAACACCGTCTGCTACTACCACCACTGTCGCCTACCACCTCGCACCCCCATTACAAATCAATATTTAAATTTCTTTATCTCTTTTTCTATGTTTGTGATTTGATTTTGGATATGAATATAAATATGTTTATTTTTTATTACTCTGTACCTTCAGGTACAAACAATAACTAGTATATTTATATAATAAAATATGAGTGTGTTTGAATTTTATCTCAGTCATATTTTTGCTCTCAAAATGATCACCAATCATTTATCTCACTCATCATCCCTTTGTCAGACTCAAACGTCAAATCAGATCACTTATTTCTATCACATGTTTAATTATTTATATATTTTCTCTTTAAAAATATCACATCACTCATTTTTATCATATATTTAATGATTTAATATTTGATTAATTTGTAGTTAATATATTTTGAAAAAAATTAATATAGTGGGATTGATCTTTTGAACACTTGAATTTTATATTTTATCGTGCCTTCAGACACGGGTTATAACTGGTCATATGATATGATAGAGCAATACTGTGTAACTTAAATTTATAATTCAAATGTGCATTTTAAATCAATAAAGAAGGTTGAATCAGTGGGTTTTAATTAAAAAAATTGATATAATCCACTCATTCAATAATCCTCTGTCCATTGGAGATGCAAATTTGAGTTAAAATGTGATATGGTTTGGAAGGTTACATTTCCTAGTGAAACTGATGAATTGGCACAATTACCCTTATGGAGCGTTGCAATACAACTTAAATTCTTTGGGCTTAGTCAAACAGTCAATCAACACATACCATACACCAACTTAATATTATTTTATTTAGTAACAACTAAATATTCTTATCTTTAATAACAAAATTTTATGAGAATAGATTCTTTACGGGTAGCAGCATGTAAACAAATTGTTTATAGACAGTTAATCAAAATTGAAGAGTTCCATTGTCAATAAGGAATTTAATCCCTAATTTTATCGATCAATGAAATGAATGGGGTTTGAAATCTCTTTATCATTATTTGAGATCTAATTCCCAAGCTTACTATAAAAAGACATTATTTCAGTATTAATTTGTGTTTAATCTAATTAATTATTTTAAATTCTATTAAGATTCTAATAATTTAAAGCTTAAAAGTTTAATTCTTACCAAATACAAGGCTTCATTTTTCATATCATATTCAATTCTATTCTATGCCATTTTCAGCCTTTTTTATTTTGTCCTCTATTATTATTCTTGTCAAATGTAATATTTGATTTCTTGTGTTCTTAAAAGGGATCTATTTAGGAGTGACATTTTTGACACGACATATAAATATAACTCGAAATCGATAAGAAATTAGTTGATTAAGATTGGTTATTTTTCGACACAAACCCGTAAATGACACGAATAATAAATGAAGTGGGTTAGTGTCACACACAAACAATACAAAATTAAAATTAATTAATACGTTTACCTAATATTATAATAATAAAATGTCAAAATTTTGTTATTTTTTTTCAAGTATCGACATAATCCTTATACAAAAAGAGAATTTTTACTTATTTTTATTATTATATTTATTAAGTTACTAGTTCGATTTGGAAATAGTATTACATTAGACTTAAATCTTATTGTTAAATTTTTATTCATGAGTTATATGGATCAATACGAATACGACACAAATAATTAAGTAAATTGAGTTCTGATTGACTAATATTCGACATGAATCCATAAAATGACACGACATGAACATATAAATTACACGACATGATCAAAAATATCTGAATCATGTTACGCACACTTTAACGTAAAAGTGTTTGTGCACCTCATTTTGTCACTTGTGCGGGAAAATTAATTAGGTACACTGGTCATCTACTTTTAGATCTTTCAAAAACGACATTGAGTAACAAATTGAATGCTTTCAAACGACATCATCCAATTGTCTCTCCTAAATTTCCACTTTAACCACAAAAAATCCAGAAAATTTTCATGCCTACATTGTTTGAAGTTTGGCTCATTCAAATAGGGTCAGGCAAAATTGTGAGGCTAAAGAAAGTACTTCAAAAGTTACACATTAGGAGAGAACATGTACTTTACTTCTTTCAACTTTTCCCATTAGTTCGTATTTACCTTATCTCATCAACGACGTTTTACCGTACATCTCCACTTATAATTATTAATTTTAAATTATTTTCTCAACTATTATATTACGCCTACCTACCTATACCTATTGGTTTCGCATTACCCTAATTAGAGACATTAAAAATGTATATTTTGTAACACATTTGGATATTTTTTATCCAAATCATATCCGACGTTTAGTTTTGGTTCAAATGAGAAACCAATTTAAGTACTTGAAGGGAGAGGTGGGGTACTATGAGATACTCAGGAATTAAAGGGGTAAAGAGAGATCAAAACTATAGTTAAAAGAGTCAAAGTATAGTTTGTCATTTTGCAATCACATTTTTGAAATGACCGTTGCCATGAAAATCTAGATACGTACAATCAATTGGAAATTTTAGGTTTCATTCAATCGCCCATTGAATATGATTGAGGGGTCCACTTAGGTAATGCTTGAATCTATGTTAATTGCACATTAAGTTAAATAAGATATTGTTGATTAAATTCAAGAAGTTATAATTTAAATGCATATCATTCGTCAGATGAGTGGATCTCATCAATTTTTTCAATGGGACGTATTTATCTCACACTCATCTAATGAATGATATGTATTTTAGTTTTAATTTTTAAATTTTATTTAAATTATATAATATTTTTTAAATAAAAACTAAGAAAATTGTACCGACCATCAACAATACATCCTCGTATGTCAGGAGCATCTTATCTTTTTGAGCATGGATTGGAGTTGTGTGTGTCAAATTGAAAAGAAAGGCAAGAGGGCCGATTCTGCCACTGCCACTGCCACTGCCAGCTATAAAGTTGGGTAGGCTTCTAATGGGTTTAGTTAGTTAGGGGTCAAGATTTGTCATTGTGTTCACACTCAGGCTCAGGCTCAGCAAAAACAAAAGTGCATCTGAAGCTTTTCCTTTCATTAATTAGATTTGTAATGCTGTTTCCTTTTGTGATTGTAATTCTGATTCTACAAAACAAAACTATTATATCTCTGAAATTTGTAATCCTTGGTAGTATGGTATGTATGTCCTGCAAGGCAAAGGGCAATCTGGAAGTTTCACATAACTTTGGAGTTCCCTCCTATTGGGTTGACTCTCCCTCCCTCCCCCCCCTCCCTCTCTCTCTCTCTCTCTCTCTCTCAGTATCTTTTTCCTACACCTTTGCTTGGGCTTTCACTTTTTTCCACAAAAATTTTCTCGCTCAACAATTAAATGTAGGTTATGTATTGTTCACCTCATTTTTGGCTTTCCTTTAAATGTTTTATCTCTCTCTCACGCGCACACACACCTGTGGTTTCCTCCATTGCAAACCAAGCTATCTTTCCAGCTTTCTGAGGCCCCCTCTCTACTCCACAGTCACACAACCCCACTAACTGTATTAACCCACATCTGCTTTCCACAATTCCTCACCACCAGTAAGGAACCTCTCTCTCTCTCTGCATTTTCCTTTCAGAGATTTGATTTTTGTCTGGCCTTCTTTGAGCATTTTATTTTACTAATTTTTCAATTCTTTCTGGCCCACTTCAGGCCACACCCTCAGCTTCTAAACTACTACTCTTTCAGCCATTAACTTTCTCTTGGGCTTTTGTGCTTTGGTGGGTTTTCAGTATTTCGACTGCATTGGCCTCTCTATGCTTATTAAGTCTCTATTGATTCAAAAAGAGGCCCTTTCTTTGCTTCTTTGAGTTCTCAAGGAGGAAAATCAAGAGGGATAGATTCAGATCACTACAAATGAAGTGCTTTCTCCTTTGAATCACTTTATACTGATTTGCATCTCTTCTATCTTTCTTTGCTTCTTTTGTAAGTCATTCTTTCCTAGATTTAATTACCCGTATCCAAAATTTAGATTTTGATTGACTGTTGCAGATACATAGGTAAGTGTTTGTCAATTCAAAAATGTTGGAATTATTTTTGGGTCGAATTAATATGGGATATGAGGAAATGGGTTTTCCTTGATTTGTTAATTCCTGTAACAGTCGGACTCTTTTTTGTGGAGGTATTACTCATCAAACTGTCTACATAAATCTGCTTAAATATCTTGAAATTTTGTATCCGATCCTTCACTCACTAGTTACTTTTTGATCTTTATGTTATGAATACTAGATTTTTCCCTTGCTATCTCATGAAATTGATTTTTGAGTCAGAATTAGGATGAAATCTAACATGTTCTCCACGCAACTGTATTTTGAACACCAACTACCATGAGTAGAAAGTTTGAAAAATTTACATATGGGTTTGCCGTTTGGATGCTTGTTTGGTTACCTAACATTCTTGTGGGATCCAGGAGGAAATGGAGTAATTTTGCGGCCTGAAAGTGAGAGGACAAGCACATTTTAGCTCCTGATATTGGGTGACCGGAAATGTCGTCTGGGAGTTTGAATGCTGAATTATCAGAAAAGACATCATTTTTGGGTCTAAAATTGTGGGTTGTGATTGGTGTATGTGTGGGTGCATTTATAGTTTTCATTCTTTGTATTTTATCTATATGGATGACCTTTAGGAGAAAATCCAGAAGAACGCTGAACAAGTACTCCGTTTTTGAAATACCCAATGTCTCCAAAGATATCAAGGTTGACAGAGTTGGGGGTCAAAATATCCATGATCATCCGGAAAGTTTGTACCAGGCGTTTAATAATAATAGATCAAGTGATAAGATCTCGGAGAAAATGTTAGTTCATTTGGGTAAGAGCAAATCGAGTGATGCTGATACTATTAGCCAATGCAGCTCCATGTATCATCATGAAATTGGTTGTAGTTCGCAATCAGGGGAAGAAGGCAGTTCAGGGAATGCCCGGAAGCAGTCTTCCCTATCTTATGGACTTGCAATGGCCTCTCCTTTAATTGGTTTGCCAGAAATCTCGCATCTTGGTTGGGGTCATTGGTTTACTCTTAGAGATCTGGAGCTTGCGACAAATCGTTTCTCGGCGGAAAATGTGATAGGAGAGGGTGGATATGGAATCGTTTATAGAGGCAAACTAGTCAATGGAACTGAGGTAGCAGTGAAGAAGCTTCTTAATAATCTGTGCGTATAGTATATACCCTACAGACTTATAATCTTTTCCAAAACCATCTGTTGTTTCTTCTGATGCTTTGATTGAAACTGGTCCTGCTTGTGAATTGCTTTATAGGGGGCAGGCAGAGAAAGAATTCAGGGTTGAAGTGGAGGCCATAGGTAATGTTCGACATAAGAATCTTGTGCGGCTTCTAGGATATTGCATAGAAGGGGTCCACAGGCAAGCTTCTTGCTTTGTTGGTTTAACTATTTATTCCTTCCTATTCACTTTAAACATGTTTGTTACTATTGTCATGGAAATGCTAAATGTTAAAAATAACTCTAAATTTCATTCCATCATCCCCTCTTTATTCTCTGGAGCTATGATCTAAGTAGCTGATGGGTGTACTTTGTTTTGATCCTATAGGATGCTGGTGTATGAGTATGTAAATAACGGTAACTTGGAACAATGGCTTCATGGGGCGATGCGCCAACAGGGTACCCTTACTTGGGAAGCCCGAGTGAAGGTTCTTCTTGGTACTGCGAAGGCGTAAGTCACCATCAAAACCATTTCATACATCATTTTGTGTCTCTTGTACAGATTATACACTTGAGACAACTGCATAATTATTTTATTTCTTCAATTTGAACATCTATAGGGTTTTCTACTACGCTTCTGAAATCTAACTGTATCTGTATTGTGATCAATATACAAAATTCAATGCTTTAGGTCTATGATTCTTTGTTAGGACCTTCTTTAAATGATTCAGTTGTTTGAGATCTAATGTCTAGGTTGGACTTCTAAGCCCCATGTGTGTGTGTGTTTGCGCTATGCTCAAAATTTACGAAAAAAATGACACGATGCAAAGCAGAACATTGAAATTTGTCTTTTGGAACAATTAACAATTGACCTAATTGGTCTGCAGGCTTGCTTATTTGCATGAAGCTATAGAACCAAAAGTTGTTCACCGAGACATAAAATCCAGCAATATATTAATTGATGATGACTTCAATGCCAAGGTTTCTGATTTTGGTTTGGCCAAGCTCTTGGATTCAGGTGAAAGCCACATAACAACCAGGGTAATGGGAACATTTGGGTACGTGTGCATTAAGTCCAGTTTTATTCTGGTCTCTCTGTTTGTTACAGATTCTTTGATGGGTGTTCCACTATAGTGGTTGAATACTTAAATTCTGGTATTTCTTGTGAACTCCAGTTATGTGGCTCCGGAATACGCCAATACTGGCATGTTAAACGAAAAAAGTGACATCTATAGTTTTGGTGTCCTGCTGTTAGAAGCAGTTACTGGAAGGGATCCAGTAGACTATGGTCGGCCTGCAAACGAGGTACCAAATCTTGAAGTATTGCTTTTAGTTCTTTGCATTCCCTATGAGTTCTCTTTCTCTCTCTGGGTCGTGGATGGTTTATTGTATATCAAACTTTCTGGTCTTAGCACATGCTTCTAACTATAAGCAATTTTTTATGTTCAATGCAGGTTAATCTGGTTGAGTGGCTGAAAATGATGGTAGGCAATAGAAGAGCTGAAGAAGTTGTGGATCCAGACCTTGAAGTTAAACCCACAACACGTGCTCTAAAACATGCCCTTCTTGTTGCCCTTAGGTGTGTTGATCCTGAGTCAGCAAAACGACCCAAAATGAGTCAGGTTGCTCAAATGCTTGAAGCTGATGAATCCCCTTACCATGAGGTAATGATCAATCTCATGTTTATAAGAAGTTAGATACTTACTTTACTGAACCAGAGGTGGAATTGCAAAACAAATGCCAGAGCATATTTGCAGCATAAGAAAAGAAGGTCAAAACTGATATTAGAAGTTATTGCGCATGCTACGTGTGTATGATCTCGACAGGGTATTGCTGTTATTCTCCACAAAGCTCAGCAATTTTTGATATCTTTACTGAAATATCAAGTGCCATCTGCATAATTAGTTGAATGTTTTTTTCTGTTACACAACACAAGCACAAGAGGTAGCTATGCCATTGTTAATTTGGTAGTGGAAGTTTTTTGGGTCATGGTTAGTTACTTTGAGCAGTTAGGAATTATGGCCAGTGTCAGAGATAATCCTCCCTTAATAATGCTGTATAGATAAAACAGAAAACGGTCATAATTAATTTTGTAGCATTTTTGAAACTAATATAGAAAATAATCCTGCTCAGTGTTCGGGCACTACTTGACCATTTGTCCACACGTGATCAGTTACTGTTTTGACAAGCATGTACCTCCATTTACTTTAAATCCTGAAGTATAATTAGTGTAGCCTGACATTTTAAATCGGTCCTACAATAATATTTCCTACTTCTGTGCTATTTATGGTGTCTTGATGCTCAACAAGGACCCACCCATGTGATGATGTACACGTTATATTTAGGATAGATTGACTTGACTATTAACATAACTCTTATTCCACTGTTTCAAGCCTTAGAACCCGTGGATATCTTGTTTACCATTCATACATACAATTGCACTTGGCTGTGCCTCCTGGTTTCTATTTTTGGGGAGTTGTATTTATCGCAATGCTTTTCTTTAGTGCTGCACCTATATGCGACCAAAGTTCATTAACACATATCCCAAATATTGTTGGGGAGTCCCCTTTTTTGTCACTCCAGAATCATAATGAGGTTTTTCTCCCTAGGAAACCTTAATGAGTAGTATATAGTGGATGATACAATATTTGGATTTGGTATTGAAGACAACTTCACAAAGATTTTGTATCAACAAAATTTGATCCGAGGATTTGGGTAGTTAAATGAACCGTCCCGCTCGAGCTTGGCTTAATTTTGGCTCGTTCAAGCTCGTGTGTTAGAAAATGAACTAAATGTGATCAAATATTGGAGCTCAATTAATACTCAAGTTGAGTGGAGTCTGAGAAATGTGCTACTTAGCTAGGTAGGGTTGGGCTTGAGCTCGAGCCCAATTCATTTGTCATATTTGAGCTTGTAGTACAAAAATAAGCTGGGTCGAGCTTGAGCATATGAGCTAGAAACAGAGTTAAGCTCAAGCAAGAATCCAAGGTCGGCAACTGAGCTTTGGCATGAGACAGTCAACTCGAGTTAAACTTGAGCATACCAAAATACAGAAGGCTTGGCTCAATTCACACCCTAATGATGGTGAACTTTAGTTTGCATGCACAAAGTTAAATGCAAGGAATTGTCCGTGTTGAGGCATCGGGTACATTGTGTACTCTTTTGGGTGCAAAAGGTTAGAAATGATTAGCATGTAAACTGAGTTTTATCCCTAAATTTATAATTGTTCCTAAAAATTAGAATCACCATCAGGAAGTCTTGAATTTGGTTTTTTCCATTCTAAGGATGCAATGCTTCTTCCTACTTGGATCCCCTTTTTATTTTTTGTTTTTACCTTTTCATGCCTTTCATGACTTTCTTGATTATGTGATGAACTTTGGATTGAATATGATGATGGATAAGGTGCCGCATATTTGAACTTGATAAAATGGGTATTTGATTATAGTATTCGTTGAGAAGCTCATACGTCAGGATTTGTACTGTTTTTTTTTTCTGTAGGATCGGAGGAGCAGGAGGCGCCGTACAACCAGCATGGAAATTGAACCCATGAAGGAGAGTTGTGGTTCAGCAAACATGGAAACTATAGTAGGGGAATCATCTGAGACAATTAATGCATAGTGCTGACACACATGACAGGGTTGAATATTTGGCTTCTCACCTTTCCCTTCAATTCATATCATACATTTTCGAAGTTCGTTTTGGAAAGATTCCTCCTTGTTAGGGCAATTGGACTAATTGAGGATAGCCCATTTGAATTCTTGAAGGTCTGGCTGTTGTTTCAATGCTGTTTGATCTGCATATAGGTACCAAGTGAAGAAGGGAGCTGCCCATTCATTCATTCATATGAGAGAGAGAGAAAGAGAGAGAGAGCTGAACAGATGTGTTTTGGTCATATGGGCAGTGTCTTTGTAGATGATCAGTACCCTTTTTATCCTTTGTGTCTCTTCACTTGACCACTCTAATGGGATGGTGAAAAACTTTCCATTTGGCTTTTTAACCTATTTTTTTTTTCCTTTTGATAACTTGTTTATTTACCCTTTTGTAACAGCCATTAAAGAATTGAAGCATTGATCACATCCTTCACTGAATTTTGTTTTATCCCTTCACCTCATTTCTTGCACCATGGCGGACTCTATCCTATCTATCTTCTTGTCTCTCTGCTAATATTATCTCACCGCCTTTTGCATCACATTTGTGTACTATCTCGATATGAATCATTAGATTATTAATTCTCATTAAATTTATTAAATATTCAATGATTATGAAGGCATCACATGAGGTGGTAAAGGTAAGATTGCGAGCACGTCAATACTCATGATATTTTTATTCACTGTCCTTTAGAAACAAGAAGAGTTTCTAACCCAGTTTATTTTGGCCGCTAAACAGTTCCACACTCACTCCCATAGGCTTCTCTCGGGTTTCGACCCTGTGCATTCCCATGTGGGTTTGCTGGTTGTATTTCCAAGCCACAGAGGTTCATGGTGGTTCTTAATCTATAATATTTGTTGTCTCGTAACTAGAAGGTCACATAGATCAACTAGTATTGTACATTTTCCTTAAATGGTGGTGGGCCTTTGTTTTTTACGACAATGACATTGGACTTTTTTAATTTGGTTTGGCATATTTTTGAATTATGCGCGTATTAAAGTTTAAATAGACTTAAGAATTCTAAACATTACGATCTTATTAAATTATAACTATTCAGGTAATTGAAACAAGGTGTAAAACTATCTCTAGATTCTTTTTCTATCTTGGAGATATAGAATTTAAATTTATTTTTTTAGAATATACTACAAACTGAGAGAATAAAGACCAAAAGGAATTAAACTAAAAATAATCATCCGAGTGGCGATCAATGGAACTACAATAAAATAAGAAAAATGCAAGAAAATAACAGTTAAAAATAGGTCTGGGATTTTGTTTTTAGGAGTGTTGATTGAGGGATCCTTTTTTAGTAGTTTGTGTCTCTGTATTTGTTAGCGGTGGCTTTTGATAATTGGAGCCATCTTTTTCGGCCACTCAGTCCATATTTAGGAGTATTCAAATTTTCGATTACTCAAAATTTTCTATTCTGTTCAACCCTACCCGACCCTATTGATCGGTTAACCGAAAAAATTGGGTAGGAATGAAGAATATTTTTTAGTATTCCGATTAAATCAGGTAAGAATGCGAAATGCCTATCAAATTTTTGTATTTCTACCTTATCCTCTCTCTCTCTTTATATATATATATATATATTGGAGTAGTTATATTGTTTGATGTGTTTCATATATGGTTTAAACCTAATATAGTTATTATTGTATTTGGGTAACAATTATGATGAATTGATGTTTATGCCTTGAGTTTTCTTGTATTTTATGTTAATTGTTATTGTAATTATTTTAGATTTTAGTGTTATTAGTTTATTGTGTTTTTAAATTATTGCATGTTATTTAATTGAATTGTTAAAATGATTCAAAAATTAATAACTACAAGGCATATTTACCCAATTTTCTATCCGATTAATTTGGACCGAAGTCAGGTAGGAATACTACATTTGATCGGTTAGGATAGGTTAAGAAAAAAATCTTTTGTAAAGTATCGGATAGGAAGATGAAAAATCATATTTCTTATCCATCGAGTATGGTGAACACCCTTACGTATACTCATGGCCTCTCCTCTCAACAACTATTAACGTTACCTAAACTTTATGTAATCAATGGCTCAATCATGTCACATCCTAACACGATTCTTCACTTTCTAGACCTTTGGAGATCTTTTCTCGTAATCTCTTTATCATATTAGATCTCCTCTAACTTAACCCTGATCGTTTGATTATGTCACGTGTACTTTTCAAATTTGTCTATATTTTGGTGTAAACATTGCCACCCTCCCACCCAAAAAAAAAATGACGTGCCGATAAGCCTTCTTCTAGGAGTGTCATTTTGGTTTTTCGAATTTGAAATGTTGCCACTTTAATCCCTCCGCTTAGCTGTCATTTCATGACTGGTTAGACACCGTGGCACATGTGGCTTAATATCCTCATGTTGCCTCTCGGGCTTCTTCTATCTTTTAAAATCTGCAAGAAATGACAAGCACACGATCTGATCATATCATTTCATCCCAAATGCTGACACCTCTTCTCCGGTGATGGTTTTTGGTCCTGCTTTCTTTGAGTTTTCTGTGTCTACCATTCACAAGTACTATCATGCTTCTCTTAAACCTCTTTTGTTCAAACAAGATGAATGATTAGCGGCGAATTGTGCATGTTTATTATAAGGTTATTTGGCTAATTACATTGGGTAAGGTAGTTAGTTGTGCACAATTGTTTAAGTTTTGGATTTTACCTCTCTTTTTTATAGTGTTTGTCCATTTTACAAGTAAATTAGTTGATTTGAAGACTTGAGGGGGCAAATGTGTGAAGGGGAGAAGATCCGGAGCAATTAGAAGTAAAAAAAAAAAATACAAAATTGTTTTACTTGTTTAAGTTTGCAACTTTCACCTAATTTTTTTATTATATTTTATTTTTTATTCAACAACTTTATTAAAGAAAATTTAAATAATTAAATTACTTTTTATTTTAAATCTTTTATGAGAATGAATAGTTTAGTTGACATTTTGTTCTTAAATGTCGGCAAAATCGAGTTTAAAGAGAAGCTGAGAAGTGTAAGCCAGTTCTGTATACTACTTTGCAGAACTCTGTAACTATTACTAAGAAGTGTAGGGAAGTTTTTATGGTTGCTTGTATAAAACTCTAATAAGCAATATTGAATAGCTTAAAAGTCTTTATTTATTTATTTTTTTTTTGGGAAAATAAACAGTCCTTATTGAGTAATATGTTTTTGAGAACAAACTTTAATTGTTTCATGGTAAATAATAAGTACTTGTATTTCTAATAAGTTAGTAATTCATTTAAATATTTTAACACTACTTGATACAAAAACATATCAAAAAATTAATCATCCAAAATATGGGTGACTGTAGAATTTAGAAATTTCTATGTTGCTGATGACAGACAAATGGGTTTTGTCTCTCTTGTGCAATAAAAAACTCAAAAAGGATTTTCATGTCATTTCCAATGTCGGAGGATTTGCTTATATTTTTAACCAAAACACAAATAGGCTTGAGTATCTTAGTATGCTTGCGTCCTATGTATAACAAGTAGCTCTAACCTTACTGTCATTATCATACCCATTTCCTCGCATTTATGATCTCATTTCCCATGTTGGGCTGTGTCAAGCGTAGTGTAATCCTTCAAAAGGAAAGCACTGTCACTCACTTTTTTGTGAAAGCATTTCAAGTAGGATTGTGATATAATGAAGAATATATATATATATATTACATTCCATGAAGTCAGTAATATTCATTTAATTCTCTAAGAAAGCCATGCCCACATAGGTTCATATATGCAGAACTACATACATCAAAATTAGAGAGAGAGATAGAGAGAAGGATCCTCTTTGGGGATGAATGGAGGAACAATATCTAGCAATAATCCATAATCAGAGATATGCATTCAACTAAGTAAGCCCCGTATTCGCTCATATTTGCAGTAACTAAATACATCATATTGAGAGAGAGAGAGAGAGAGAGACCACTCTCAAGGCTCCTCTTTGGGGATGAATGGAGGGACAACATCTTGTAACAAGCCATAATCCTGAAATTGCACATGCTGCTGGAAATTGGGATAATACACAGAACTTTGATGAGCTTGGTCACCAGTGGGATGCATCTGATTGAGGAGTTGTTGAGGAAAGTTGGTCCCTAATGCAGTTGATGCCAAGTAAGAAGGTGACAACATCGCGGCAGCATTGCCTCGAAGCGTTGCCGGAGAATGATGGATATGCTGGCCTTCGTACGTTGTGATCACAGTTGATGGATCTTGGAATGATCTTTCGACACGTTTCTTGACGTTGCAGTTCTGAGTTGTGCATCGGTAGTAACTCCTAAGAAGCAAGAAACCAGAAAAATGGTTATGCTCAGATTACATAATAGTATTCGTCTATGGAACCTTCACTTGTCTTAATGTAGAAGAGTTGGTAAATGAAGATAATATAATGGAAAAGACTCTATAAGGGCAAGTTTGGATTGTCTTTAATAATCAAACAAGTTCCAACGGGTTATTTGCACTCATGATTTGTTTTGTAAAGTTAGAATTTTTGCACAATCACATGCAAATCCTAGTTATCAGATCAACTATGATATGTTTTGCGAGACTTGAACTTGGAATTTTGAGTTATTAATCAGTGAAATCTGTTCATTCGAGCTACCCAATGGGCTGACAAATTTTGGTTTAGGTACTATGAGAAGTGTTTTACGGAATCTATAATACCATCAGGATTACCAGAATCTTAAGATCATAGAGAATATCTGAATAATAAGATGTAATCAACGGAAGCAATATCTAATAAACAAGATGCATGTTTTGATCAACAAACTTGGATTGAAAAGACAATCTACTAATCATCAAGCTTTGAAAACTTGCAAGAGTTTATTCAAATGTTTTCAATAATGCGAAGTATATGCTATCTGTTATATTGACTTCTTTTTTCTTTGTTTTCTTCTGTTGCTGGTATGCAAGTAATTGAAAAATATACAACCTTGGAAAAGGGCTATTCTTCACTGCTTTCTGCCCATATTTTCTCCATCTATATCCGTCTTCCAGATTATCGATGTCGCTCTTAGTCATGAACGCGAACCTTGGCTCCCTTTTCTTTTTTTCCACCTTCTTTTTTGGTTTGTTCCTGATCAAACAAGTACCATAAGTTCACATATAAGACGATTAACCCATATCTAGACAGTCTGAGTTAGGCATACTTAGTGTATGTGTAAACCAGATTAATTTGAAGGGTCTAATGGAATCAAAATGAGACTTGAACACATTAGGGTTTTGTTGTATCTTTCTGTAGAAAATCCATTCCAACGATTGAATTGTACCTTGCATTCAACTAAGAAATATAAAGAAAAGTCCAAGTGTTGATCCACAAGCAAATAAGGCAGAAAATCGAACAACGAAAACCCCTAATGATTTCTTTTATTTTATACAAAAAGGTGGAGTAAATTGAGTTGAAAAGCTTGCAAAGGAAATTGGATGGTTGAAAGCTTGTAGTGATTGAAGGTCTTAAAAGTCCATATTGAGAAAAGGTTGAAACACATTACCCTAACTGTTTATATGTCAAAACTTTCTCCCTTCTGGCTTTAGATTTCAACAAGGGGCGAATTACCACCCTTCCTGGCTTCACCCTATTTATTCATCTCTTTTTTCAAATGGATATTTAGGGATCGATCTCTTTTCTTCCTAGTAATAAGCGAGAATTTCCTTGAAAGCATGTACCTTTAAACACAAATCAACAAAGAGGAAGCAAAACCTACACTCTCTTGGACTTCTCATCTGCATCTTCACACTCTTTCAGCTGCTGATCTTTCTTACTCTTTGTAGAATCTTCTTCAGCCACAGCCTCGGAAGAGGAGGAAGACACCCAAGAACTTGGCGTTGATGGATTATTTTCACTAATCCCAACTGAATCTCTCACAACCCTATTTTTTGAGCCGTCATTAGCCGGAAAGTTTGCCTCGGATGGTGAGCAAGACATGTCGAAGACCGTTGATACGGAGTTATAATCCACAGAGCCATGTAAGAAATCAGTGAAGGTCATGGAAGAGGGAGCTAAACCATGTAGACTTTGTGCAGGACGTGGTTGGTTAGACATGGAGGGATGATCTTGAAAGAAAGGGAAGGTAGTCCCACCAATCTCCATGTGATCATGGTGAAAGGGATTATAGTGATAAGGATCATTGTTTTCATCAGACATTGAAGGAGGAGAAAGAGGTGGAGGGGGAGAAGACGAAGAAGAAGAAGAAAAAAAAGAGGAGAGAGAGAGAGAGGAGACTTAGAGACTTAAAAGAGTATTTGTTAGACTTCTTTTTGATTGATGTAAGAGAGCTTTGCTTGCTTTTTGGTATTCTCGCCTCTCTCTCTCTCTCCCTCTCCCCCTGAGAGAAAGAGCACTTTGCTCAAGTATGCTCATTGCATTGGGTAACTCTGAAGACAGACATGAGGCTTTGGCTGAGCAATAGGCTGGCTATAGGGATTTAAATGTGTTCAACTTAAAATTTATCAATTTTGATCAAATTCAATTATTCAAGTTTACTTTATTGAGTTGCACTGAGATTAATAAAGACCAGAGAAACCCATTAATAAAATTCAAGTAATTTCATGGGTGATATTTGAAATTAAGATATTTCGTATTTTCAATGTGAGTGATTTCGAGAGAAATGTTAGTGATCGTTAGATTAATTTGAGACCGTCGAATAAATTTATTAAAGTTTGTATTATTTTATATATTTGAAATAATATTAAAATTGATAAAATTTAAAATTAAAATCAAAATCATAATCTATGGTTTGAGATTGAACTTTAAATCTCTTTGATATGAAAAAAACATTGAACCCAAGCATACACTCACCAGTCACCTTTGTATACAGTGTGCAAGGTTCCAGTGTGGGTCTCCAACAATCTGCCGTTTCGCATGGGGCATTGGACTTACACGTGTCAGTGATTGGCACCGGCATTTGACCGTAGCCGACAAGGCACTCGGCACGTGCTAGACTTTTCTCTCTCTCTCTTCCCATACGTCTTGCTGATGGGGTTGATCATCATCAGGATCAGATCAGAGCAGCGTTACCTTCCGAATTTTGTGGCGACTTTAGGCTTCTAAAAGCTGGTCAAGCATTGTTTTTTCTAACCTAATTTCCTTTTATAACCTAATCTCATGAGTGATGTTCTAAACTATGAAAACCCGGGTCTAAAACACGGTGCAATGTAAATAATTTTGATAAGAATATTATTAGCCGTTAGATGAATTTATTTGAAATTGTCGAATAAATTTATTAAAATATGTCTTATTTTATGTTATAGACGACTAATGTTATTCAAGTATTGAGTATTAAAAATGCCATCTAATTTTTTTTATTTAATGATATGTAAAATGAAAAATATAAAGTTATAATTGCAATAACCTTAAGTCCAAATGATAGTAATTATTCTAAATTTTAATTCCTTTAAAACAATCAAATTGTTACATCTGAGTTTCATTTTCAATATTAGACAAAACCACGATGGAGGAGCCACTATTCTGTGTTAGAAAAGCAAAAATAAAATAGATGGCTAAAAATATTTACTAAAAATACCAAAAGATTTTAAAGTTTAAGTATGACAAATTATATTTAAAACTAAGATTAAATTACTGTAAAAATTAATTTTCATTTAGTCTAAACAAAATTGAACAAAAAAGACGTACAAATTTTCTTGGTATGTTTCAAGTCAATCATATACATGCATTAAAAATTTTGAGAATTTATTTTTAAATTATTTAGAAATTCGTAATATACCGAAACATTTAAACCACGTTGAAAATATTTTAAAACAATGGTCAAAACTTCTTAAAACATTATGAAATATTTCGATTCAATCATTAGTTTGTTTCAACCTCCTTAGAAACGGAAGCATTTCGACTGTTTTAAAATGAAATTTTAATACTTGAATATTTTAGACTCTGTTTTAATCAATTCAAGTGAGGAGGCCCCGGGGTAAAGACTATAAGCTGTATCCCATGTAATGTTATGGATTCTGCACTACCGACCTTGTTTTTCCCAGTTGCATCTTCTGTCTAGCTGCTACGTTCAGTTGTATGACAAAAATGTTTGAAAGAAAGCACAAGCATGCGTAAACTTTCTACTAGATCCAAGGTTTTTTTTTTTCTCTCTACCTTAATCCATAATCTTCAAAACGTTTTTCAAATTACATATAAAAACAAAAGCATATCAGAATTACGTACACTTTTTTTTTCTTTTTCATCGAGAATCTCTAACTGATATGACAATTACGGGAGAGTGAAAGCATTTGATTTCTCTTATCATGCCACTCTTTTAGCCATTCACGTTCATAAATCTCCCACACATCACATGGTCAGCTCAGATAGAAAAACCATGTGCAGCTACAATGTTTAGGGCCCATATTTCGAATCTTAGGCTAGCTAGTACGTACACAATCCATTTCAGTTTAAAAGCTGTGGCATCTATTAGTAAAGACTCACCATTTTCCAGTAATCATGCTAGCAATAGATTGAGAAGAAAGACTAATACTCTTCAACATCTTATGGAAAGCTACCTTTTACGATTAATTCTGCATATAAGATCAGTTCTAACATTTTACTATTAATATTTATTTTTATTTTATTTTATAAATCGAGTTCGATCGAGTCATACCTTCCCTCAAATGAATTTTAACTAACCCTATTCTTATAATTTTGGATATAATACCAAACTCGATACTGCTTCCCTCCCATGATTGAGATGGATGGGACCAATTGAATACTTCAGCGGTACACAGAAGAAGAGCATGACTTTGTTGACCGTTTTGTTCTATGATATGAAAAAGGATGTTGTTTGCATCAGTCAATTGAGGGCAGGTTTTTTTGTTAGGTCTGCAGAGCACTAGGAGTATTTTTCACTGGCACAAGTGTAAATTTGTAATACCACAACTTCCACCACTCAATCATGTCACGCATGCTTAGGCACATGAAAAGTTCTAAAATGATTGTGCAATGTCTTCCAATCCTAATTAATTTGCATCATGTTTTTTACTCCTTGGCTACCTTGCGATTTATAATAATGCCACCCTCAATCACCTAATACGTGTTCAAGTATTGAATCTTAAATGTCATGCACATACTTCAAATCCGTATTACGAGCGACTTACAATATGATATATAGTAAAAAATTTTCCACCAACAATTATTTAAACTCTGAAAAGATGAAGTGTAAAGGTTTTGAACAAATTGTGACCTCAAAGCTGTAACTAGTGGGCAAGCTTACCTCAACGAGCCACTATGCCAGACACAGATAAGAAAATGTATAATTGGAACTAGTCTAATTAGCAGGACTCTTGTGTGTTTGAAAAAGAAATGAATATCCTAATTGGAACTAATCTAATTGGCTATAATCCCAGACTTTTTCAACTAGGAGGTTATGAGATCAACGTTTTCTGTCTCTTTGGATCTCAATTGTGCTCTTTTCAGGTCTTTGTGATGTACACGAAGTTGTAGCAGATTATTGGAGTCAAAATATCACCATGCGTTCAAAGTTCAATGAAATACTATAAAGTGATAATCGAGACAAAATAAGTTCAACTTTTAATGAAGCAAGGCTAGCGTCAATCGATCAAAACTTGTCGTTGTGCCGTGAGTTCCTTTAATTTCTGGTCAAACTCTATTTTTTAGGCACTCAAATCATCATTTTTATCCTTTCAAATTTTTTTTTTTAAAGTCGTTCATATGTTCGATATATATAGAAATGATATTATATATATATATATATATATATATATATATATATATATGTGTGTGTGTGTGTGTGTGTGTGTGTGTAGCTAAGGTAGCCTGAGCCTATCCTATGAAGTAAATTAGAAAAAAGTAGCAGAAGAGTTATATTTGCAATCATTATGAAAACAACATAAATCAGAAAAGTTTTGGCTACTATACGGCTGATCGTGTTGATTCTTGAGGTAGTTGCCTGCTATTCTTTTGACCAGAAAAAATAATGCTCTTAGACCTAGAAATTTTTTAAGAAGCTCTTGTTAAATTTTATAAAGTAATTATGGTTCTTTATACAACTATTTAAATTCAGTATCATATTGAAAATCATTATTATAAACCGTGGTTTTTTTTTTTATGAGGGAGAACCTGCTTTTTACTTTACAAATGAAGAGGTTGAGACTTCTTGCCAATCTCTACAATATGCTCTTATTGGTAAATGTTGTTATGGCAGGCCATCTTTAGGAGTTATCAAAGAGGTCATCAGATCCAAGTGGAGTTTGAAGGGTGATTTTGAAGTAGGCTTACTTGATCAAACACTTGTTCTCATCAGATTTCAGATGCATGAAGACTATACAAAAGTATGGCTTAAAGATGTCACCTAGATTGAGGATTACTAGTTCAGATTCTTTAGGTGGTTCTTTGGCTTTGTTCCAGGTATAGAGCCTTCAACTTCAATTGTGCCAATGTAGTTGTCGTTACCAAGGCTCCCAGTGAATTTTTTCAAGTTGGTCTAAGCCACTAGGAAGAATATTAGCGTACGATCATGCTACATTAAAAGAACTTAGTCTTTCTGATATATGGCTGTTTGTTTCTAGTAATGCATCTTGTTGTACAGTAGTCAAAATCCCCTCCACCAACGAATTGTCTTCGGAGTGAATATGAAAACGAAAGATTCGACATTTTTAACATTTACGAAAGCAATCTACAGAAGGAGTTGACTAGTCCATGTTTTATGATTGAGTTACGGGCTCACCAAGTCAAAATCTGCTTAAAAGCTGGCATTGAAGCAGTATATATTTAATAGTTAGCTGACTTAGTGTTCAAATCAAGCCAGAAATACACTTGTCCCACACACACTTCCACAGAGAGATTAATTGACAAAAAAACAATATTACTTGAAATTAATTTATTTATTTAATTCACTATTCTTGTCTATTAGTAATAGGTTTCAATATTGAGTTTTGTTGGTATGAAAAAGCAAATATATATATACACATATACATACGTATCACCATTGTGGTAGGACCACCAAGCAACATTGTAAGGTGAGATAGCATCACGTAGTGTTTAGCCAACCTATGTACAAATCAACTTGTAATGCCAACTCTTTTACCTTCTTTTCCTTTTACTAGACCTTCTTAAATTTGGGACGATTAATTTTACTATCCGTCAATGAAACAAGTTAAACCACGTAAAGCGAAATGTGTCAATCCTTACAGTTTGAGAAAAGAAAATGATTTCAACAACATACGGCCTTCCACCATGGGCGACATGGCATGACCTATTGAGATGATTGGGGTGGTCTTTACCATCCCAAGGCATTCTACATAGCTCATGATCTCAAGATACATGATATGAGCAATT